GTTGTCATTGTTATTTAGCTGGCCTGGGCCGGATTCAACCCCCCTGCCTTGCTGTACATGACTGGCACCCTACTCACGGAGCTATGGGTACCACCAAACCTCTCTTGTTTTTAGCCCCACACAAAATTGCAGATGGTAAATGGTTTGGATCATTACACTTGAGTGTATGTGTTATATACAAAACCAAGCCTTGGTCCTGTTTCTCAGCTGTACATGTTGTTCCAAGAACTGGCCCTTTTTTCCCCTCTCTTTTTCTATATTTTGTTTGTTCTTTCTTTCCTTCTCTCTCTCTCCCTTTCTTTTCTCCTTCCTTTCTTTCTCTCTCTTCATTTTCTTTCCTTGTGTAGTGGATGGGCACTATATTCTATAGAAAGTCAGAAGGATCAAGATGTCTACAGATGACAGAATAAGAAAGAGACAAGCTGTGAAGGTGTACTGTTGTCCTTGCCAAGCAAAAGGAAGACAGTGGTGGTGGTCCTTCCTTGCATATTGGCAGAGAGAAAGCATTTGCTAGACCAGCAGCTATGAAGGTGAGGATCTTCACCCTTCCAGTTGTCCTGAGCTGCCTTCCCTAGCAGAGTCAGCCCTTTATTTCCTTAGGGTTAAGACATTCTGCTGACTTCCTTGTTCTGCTGCTCATGATGGTAAATGGATCTCTGGCAGTTAGATCCTGTCATTTGAGCTTTGTCACACTAGTCTTTCATCTCCATCAAAATCAGGAGATCTTTTTTTCTTTTCGAGACAGAGTCTCACTTTGTCACCATCAGTAGAGTGCTGTGACATCATAGCTCATAGTGACCTCAAACTCTTGGGCTCAAGCAATCCTCTTGCCTCAGCCTCCTGAGTAGCTCAGACTATAGGTACCTACTACAGCACTTAGATAATTGTTATATTTTTAGTAGAGATAGTCTGCCTCTTGCTCAGGTTGGTTTTTTTTTTTTTTGAGACATAGTTTCACTCAGCCTTGGTAGAGTGCTGTAGCATCATAGCTCACAGCAACCTCAAATTTGGGGGCTTAAATGATTCTCTTGCTTCAGCCTCCTGAGTAGCTGGGACTACAGGTGCCTGCCACAACACCTGGCTAGTTTTCTTAGAGAAGGGGTCTTGTTCTTGGTCAAGAAATCCACCCAAATTGACTTCCCAGAATGCTAAGATTGCAGGCGTGAGGCACCATGCCCAGCCCACGGTGGCCTTTTCAATGGCAGCATCTCCTACGGCGATACTGGCCTATAGAGGACAGCCACTACAGTGATTTTCAGGGGTGCAGTTGCCCTACTGAATAATATATTTCCCAGTGCTTTCAGAACAAAAATATCCTCCTGGTTCTGCACCTGTAGCTCAGTGGTTAGGGTGCCGACCACATATACCCAGACAGGCAGGTTAGATCCTGGTTGGGGCCTGCTAAACAACAATGACAACTGCAACAAAGAAATAGCTGGGCTTTGTGGCAGGCGCCTGTAGTTTCAGCTACTTAGGTAGTTGAGGCAAGAAAATCGCTTAAGCCCAAGAGTTAGAGGTTGCTGTGAGCTTCAATGATGCTATAGCACTCTACCGAGGTGACATAGTGGGACTCTGTCTCAAAAAAAAAAAAAAAAGGGCTCGGCGCCTGTGGCCAACCAGAAACCGCGCCAGCCACATACACCTAAGGTGGCGGGTTCGAATCCCCAGCCCGGGCCCGCCAAACAACAACGATGGCTGCAACCAAAAAATGGCCAGGCGTTGTGGCGGGCGCCTGTGGTCCCAGCTACTTGGGAGGCTGAGGCAGGAGACTCGCTTGAGCCCAGGAGTTGGAGGTTGCTGTGAGCGTGATGCCATGGCACTCTACCCAGGGGGATAGCTTGAAGCTCCGTCTCAAAAAAAAAAAAAAAAAAAGAATATCCTCCTTGGTGCAGTGTGTGTTTGTGCACGTGCCTGCACATGAGTGCATGATATTGCACAGGGTAAGCCCACTTAAACGTTTCCTGTATTCCAAAGACTTTGGATTCCTTTCACCAAATTATACCAGGGGAATTCTGGGATTTCAGCCTCATTGAATTTCAAGCACCATTGAATTTAGGTCTTAGTCAATCCACCAAACCATGTCCTTCAAGGTGCATAAGCTAATACTACCTTAAATGCAATTTTTTTTAGATTTGGCCCTTGGGTTCTCAAACTCTGCCTGTGCTAATATATTTTTTTCTTTTTTTATTGAATGGTAACTATGTACATTAATGCAATTCTGGGGTACAGTGTGGTGTTTTCACATACAAATTGAAACATTTCCATCAAACTGGTTAACATAGCCTTCATGTCATTTTCTTAGTTATTGTGTTAAAACGTTCATATTCTACTCTTAGAAAGATTCACTTGCACCCTTGTAAGATAAATTACAGAAGTGATCCCTCCAATCCCCCTCCCTCCACCCATTCCCCAAATGCAATTTTTTAATAGACTTTTTTTTCTATTTTTGGCCGGGGCCAGGTTTGAACCTGCCACCTCCAGTATATGGGGCCTGCACCCTACTCACTGAGCCACAGGCACTGCCCCTTAAATGCAATTTTTGAAAGTTATCCCATATAAATGAATGTGATCCAGTCCAGTGTTATATCCCATCCTCCTTGGTCAAACCCTTAGATGCCATTCCCATATTTGTCCCCAAGGTTTATGCCACTTAGATAAACAAAACCTTGCAATTCTTTTGCAGCATAATATGCTTAAGAGTCAGATTTTATACTTGTCCAAACTCATTAGAGGTTGAGAGCAGTAAAGGGTAGTTGGGGGAAGGGAGCCCTTACAAGGAACAAGATTTATAGCCTGTCACCCAGCTTCCAGACTAGGTCAGCTCCCAGATTAAGTGCTCCTCACTGGAAGGAGACCAAGTCCTTTTGGGATAAGTCCTGCCTCAAGAATAGGTTGTAGGCCAGGCATGGTGGCATCTATAGTCCTAGCTACTCAGAAGCCTGGGGTAGGTGGATTGCATGGCCCAGGAGTTCAAGACCAGCCTGGGCAATATGGTAAGACCCTGCTATAGGCAGCAGTATGGGAGATCTTCCTAAAAGGGCCTGCTGCCAGAGTGAGAAGGAGAAAATACCCAGACCTTTCAGGGATTGAGAGAGCCTGGCTCTGAGTTGAAGCTGATCCCCTAAGACTCTGTGATCTACTAGACAAAGCAGGGTTTTATAGCCTTCTCCTGGTGCTTACTGTATGTTTACTCCCCCTCAGGGTATTTTCCTGAGGATGAATAATAGGAAGGGACACACTCAGGAAATGGTAGAATCACCATATTGGCTCTTTAACTCAGGGCAATTGTCCTTCAAATAGGAGGGACCAGACAGAAGCCCCTAGGATGTTCCCTCTCTGCCAAGATGACAACCTGGAAGCTAGACCACATCCCCAGGGAAATTACAGACTACTGAAATTACACCACCAATTTCAGGCCACTGTCAAGAGATTGAAAGATGCAGGGTGGTGATTCTTACCATATCATCATTCTGCTTGACTGGCCTGTGCAGAAGACAGCTGGATCCTAGAGAATCACAGCAAGTTATTAGACCATGACTCCAATTGCAACTGCTGTTTCAGATGTGTTATCTTGGTGGGAGTAAGTTGGCTCAACGTTTGCTACAGGTGTAGCAGATACTCATAGCTTTGTCTGAATGCACTCAAGTCCATTTCAAGCTTCAGGTTCTCCTCCTTGTGCTAACTCCTAAGAGGACATAAGGTGAGCTTGTGAATTCAGTGCAGTTTGCAGTTGTGCAATACACATGACCAATGGAGCACACATCTGAGCAGGGATGGGAGAACAGTCCACAGAGGGTCACACAGTGCAGAATTCCCCAGCGATGGGGGAGACCACAGCCACCAGGAAGAGAAAGGATGGGCCCAGACACCTTCACTCAAGAGTGCAGCCTGCTGGGGACCGGTTTGCTGAGCTTCTGTGTGTGATGGCTCAGTGTCCCCTTTTAATAAAGAATCCCAGCTCCTATCCCATGATGAGGGGATTCTTTTGATCATTTTACTGTTCTACTGATTTAGTTAATGATTATCCATTAATATTGATTTCTGGGGATTCCGAGGCTCTATTCAACCTTGGCCTTAGAGGTTTGTGATTTGTCCCCCACCCCTTGCAGGCCCCACCTTTGCCTTCCAGGAAGGGAAGGGGTCAATGCCCTGCTGCCCTGTACCTCACTCAGACCTGATCACCTCAGATGCTCACAACAGCTAGAGCCTCTGTGACCATGATAGCCTTGCTGGTGTCCTTCCTGCTGCTCTGGGGTGAGGGATCCATGACCTAAGGAGCCCTGACAGGGTTTGGGAGTGGGATTGGGGGGGCCTCATGGTGCTGTCTCCACAGGTTTCACCCTGGGCCCAGTGGCAGAGGCAGCTGTGTGTGAGTATAAGGCAGGACCAGGCCTGGGGATGGTGCTGCAGGCAGGGATAGGCCCTGGCCCTGCAGCACTCAGCTGATCCCAGCCACCCCTCACAGTTTTTGACACCCGGCCCAGCCTTTCAGCAAAGTCTGAATCACAGTTGGAGCCCTGGACCAACATCACACTGACGTGCAAGGCCCAACTGGTCACCATGGATTTCGAGCTGCTCAAGGATGGGACATCACAGGAGCTCGTGCACCTACATTCACCTACCATCAAGCACCAGTTCCTGCTGACGGGTGACATCTGGGGTCTCTACCGCTGCCGCTCAGGCCTGAGCAATGATGGGTGGACCGAGTTGAGCAATCTTGTGGAGGTGACAGGGCCAAGTGAGCAGTAATAAGGGCCAGGAGGCCATAGGGAGGGGGTTGCTGGGGGATCCTCCTTCCCCCAAGTCCCCTGACATCTCTGAGCCTCAGTTTTCCCATCTGTCAAAGGGGATGACATTTGTACTGACCACAGAGGCTTGTGAGGAATAAATGATTCCATCCACAGGGGCATGGCAAAATGTGTGGCCCCATACACTTCTCCTTTGGCTGCCCTGTTTCTGCCTGGCTGTGCCCCTCTTGAATTCCCTTCCCTCCTGTCTCCCTCACAATCTTTCTAGTCATGCCAAACCACTTATTAACCCTGCAGAGTCCCTGCCCTCACCATGGCTCTCAACAGAGCCAGTGTCCTGGATCACACCTGGCCTGAATGCCACACTGGTATGCCATGGGGGATTGCAAGGTGTGACCTTTCTGCTGAGGCGCAAAGGAGATGATGCGTTTCTGGAGGTAGCTAAGGCTGGGGAGGATGTGGAGGCCACCTTCCTTGTCCACAAGGCTGGCGACTACAGCTGCACCTACAGGACCCACGCAGCAGGCACCCCCTCAGACCCCAGTGCCCCTGTGACCATCAAGGAACTCGGTGAATGTTGGACAGTCTTAGAGGGCTTCTGGGGGAGGAGGCCCCTGGGTGGAAGGGCTACATTCTCTTTGGCCTCCAACACTGGGTGGAGGAGGTCAGGGCTGGAGGCAGGGAACTGGCCATACCAGTTGCTTGGCCTGAAGGTTGCAAAGTTTGGGCACAGGATGTCCAAAAGAAGGGAGGGTGTTCCCGGGGGTGCCACCAAGAGGGCAGAGGACAGTAGACTGGGCAGAAGGTAGCTCTAGCAGGGAACTGGCGCAAGAGGGTACCCTGGCCTCTGGTGGCCCCAGGGACAACTCCTGCCTTGCAGCTGCCCCTCCACCGCCTGCACTGAATGTAGACAGAGAGTCTGCCGGAATCCTGCGACCAGGTGACAAAGCCACCCTTGTCTGCGTGGCCCCCCTGAGCGGTGTGGAATTCCAGCTGCGGCAGGGGGAAAAGGAGCTGCCAGTGCCCCGAAGCAGCTCCAACCCCGACCGCACCTACTTTCATCTGGAGGCCCTGGCCCCGCGGGATAGCAGGCCCTACTACACCTGCCGATACCGGCTGTGGAACCAGCAATCTGCCTGGTCAGAGGACAGCAAGCCTGCTGAGCTGATTGTGAGCAATGGTGAGCCCATCAGCCAAGGCAGAGGGAAAAGGATTGGGACAGGGGCAGGCACCAGGTGTAGGGGTCCCGGAAGTGCAGGCCTCTGAGCCGCATCCAGTCCCAATTCAACCCTCCACCTCAGTTTCCTCAACTGCCAGAGGGACAATGAGCCTGGCAACCTGAGACCCAGTGAGGCCCAGTCCTCAGGCCCTGCAGAGGCCTCTGACGCAGTTCCCCCACCAGGGTCCCCAGGGGCTTCTCGGGTCTGGGCATAGCTGAGGCCTGCCCGAGAGGCCAGCCTTTGGCTGCTTCTCGCCAGTTCACCCTGGGCTCCTTAACATTTGACAAACATTGAATGAGCAGTTGGCTTCCAGCCTCCTACCCCACCTCAGGATTTCAAGTGCTCCAGGTGGCTGCGCATTGGTACAGTGCCAGCAGACACTTAGGGGCCAATCCACTATAGCATGGTCATGTCCAGGAGCCACAAAGCCTCGGACACATAATGTCGCCCGCCTCCCTGTGTTTTTGTAGACAAATTAATAACAAAGAGTGAAGGAGTTGTGAGAGCTACCCAAGGGGACGGGACCAGGGGCCAGAGGTGGGTGCGGCTTTCATCAGGGTGGTCCTGTTTGCCTTGCTGAGAAGAGTCAGCCAAGGCAAAGCTGCAGAAGCTGGACTACGCGTCAGGCTGGGCAGTCCCCTTGTACCTGGTCAGCCTGCATCCTCCTCCACAGAGCAGCTGCCTGCGCCTGAGCTCTTGGCCCAGCCTGCCAGTCGTAGCCCAGAGCCCGGTGCGCTGGTGCGGCTTCGGTGCCTGGGGCCCCTGGTTGGCATGCGCTTCGCCCTGGTGCGCGAGGACGCTGGCGGTCGCCGCGTGCACCGTGTGCTGAGTCCCGCGGGAACCGAGGCCACCTTCGAGCTGCGGAACGTCTCGGTGGCCGACTCGGCTAACTACAGCTGCGTCTACGTGGACCCGGAGCCGCCTTTCTCGGGCTCTGTGCCCAGTGCAAGCGTGGAGCTGCAGGTGGAGGGTGAGCTTGCAAGCATCTGATGTGCGCTAAGGGAGCCTGCCTTTCCTGGGTGCCTAAGGCCCCGATCCTGTCCTCATCAGCAACTCTTTGCTGGGGGTGGGGGGGTGGGGTGGGGAGGGTGGAAGTGAGGAAGGTGGAGAGGAGGCGGTGACGAGAGTCCTGGGGACCCTTTGACACATTTCCTAATGACTTGAGCCTGATCAAAAGTATGGGGTTGGGCCCAGATCTTCCTGTTCAAATCCCTTTGCATCTGCCTGTGCTTCAGTTTCCTAGTGCAACACCCTGATCAGTGGTCATATTGGACTATCACTCCAACTCCACCTGGGCACCGTCCCACCGTGGAGGGGTGACATGTAATTCTCCCCAAGCCCTCACCATCCCTGGGGTCTGTTTGTTCCTCCAGTTCCTCATAGAGGTGTCCAGAGAGGTCAGGGCATGCAGAGCAGCAGGCCACAGGTCCCAGGCCAGACCTTTGGGTTGTGCCCTCTGTCTGGAACACCGCTTCCCTTGGTCATTTCTTCCTTGTCTGCCCGTGTCCCAAGTGTCCTTGAGGACCTCAAGAAGCCGCAGAGCAGCCTGGCTCTGGGACCAGGGTCCTGGGGCAGTGTAAGGACTCACAGGGCCAAGTGGCTGTAGAGCAGGGCCCAGGGTGCCGCCAAAGCAGCTGCCTCCGCTCACGTCCAGGAATGGGAGCGGGTTAAACGCTGGCTGAGGACAGCAGTGCGAGTTGAGGAGGACTTCAGCTGGTGCCAGGTCTGAGCTGTGGCTACAGCTCCCTGGACTGACTGGCCTGCTCTGCCCAGGACCACCTCCTAGGCCACGGCTGCGCGCCCTGTGGAGTGGTGCGGTGACCCCTGGCCGAGATGCCGTCCTGCGTTGTGAAGGCCTCGTACCGGACGTCACCTTTGAGCTATTGCGAGTGGGAGACACGAAGCCTTTGGAAAGGCTCCACGCCATTCACCCCTCCGCCGACCTCACGCTGACCTATGTGGGGCCCCAACACGCTGGCAACTACAGCTGCCGCTACCGCTCCTGGTGGCCCAACCGCTTTGAGTCAGAGCTCAGCGACCCGGTGCAGCTGCTGGTGGCAGGTGCCCTTTCCCTAGGTCCTGGGGGATGGGCTCTGTCCTGGGTTGCGCACTCCACAGGGAGTGCCCTTTTCTGCATCTCTTTCTGGGTACCTTGGCTGCTGTGTCCAGTCTCCACTTGGGGCCGTGACAGAATTGCAGGGGGGCGGGGACCACCCTGAGTCAGAGAGTGGTTTGGTCAGCTAGAGCACCTGGCCAGAGATGGAGGTGGGGCCGGCCATCAGCTGACCATCAGGGAGAGAGGAAGGCACGGGATCCACCTTCACCTACCACTTCTTTTTCACATTTGTCCAGGACATTGACCCAGCTGTGGACGCAGGTGCTGACGGTGTCCTTGGGAAGTACTGGGAACACTGGACTGGTTCCTGTCCTTATTGCTACAGCTGGAGGCCAGGCTCCCTCGGGTGGGAGGCTGGAGGTCTATCCCTCACTCCTCCCAGCAATTAATAAACATGGAGAGAGACTTTGCTTAAGATGTGTCTTTGGGCTTGGCACCAGTAGCACAGTGGTTACTGCACCAGCCACTACACTGTAGGTGGTGGGTTAGAACTAACCAACAATGACAACTGCAACAAAAAATAGCTGGGTGTTGGGGCAGGTGCTTGTAGTCCCAGTTACTTGGGAGGCTGAGGCAAGAGAATCACTTGAGTCCAAGAGTTTGAGGTTGCTGTGAGCTGTGATGCTATGGCACTCTACCAAGGGCTACATAGTCAGACTCTATCTGAAAAAAAATGTGTCTTTGGCCAGTGGGTCCAGAGAAGCCCCTGAGTCAGACCCAAGACTTAGTGGGGTGGAATCTGTGTGCTAGAGGTGGTGGTCTCCAGGTTGGTTCCTGACAGTGGTGGGTAGAGCACTGGCTCTCAAGCCCACATTTCTTTTCTTTCTTTTTTTTTTTTTTTTGAGACGGAGCCTCAAGCTATCCCCCTGGGTAGAGTGCCATGGCATCATGCTCACAGCAACCTCCAACTCCTGGGCTCAAGCAAGTCTCCTGCCTCAGCCTCCCAAGTAGCTGGGACTACAGGCGCCTGCCACAACACCTGGCCATTTTTTGGTTGCAGCCATCATTGTCATTTGGCGGGCCCGGGCTAGGGATTCGAACCCACCACCTTAGTTGTATGTGGCTGGCGCCTTAGCTGCTTGATCCACAGGTGCCGAGCCAAGCCCATATTTCTTAAGACCTCCTTCCACTCTCTTCTACCAAGCTGCCTCTTACTCCCCAGCAGGTAGCCCAAGGGTCTACCTAACTCCTGACCGTATCAGTCTCTAGACAGGAGGAAAGTTCAGAGAGCCTGTAGTTTGTTGTCTTGTCCTCCCAGGCACAGGGTGGTGGTGCTGGACTGTTCCAGGCCTCCCAAATCAGAGTTTGGAGCTGTGGCAGTGGCTGGATTCCTCTCTGTTCATCCCCATTGCCCCTCAGCTCTGAGCCGCCTTTGCCCTACCTGACACCTTCCCGAACCACTGCCTGGTCCCTGCCTGGAGCTTGGCCTTCTAGGTTTTGATACATGGTAGGTGTGTGTTAGTATTGTTACTGAAATTTCTTTCTTCAGTAGGTCCTTAGACTCAGGGGTTCGAAGAATGAACCCAGGGACCACAGATCAGTGTTAAGATAGGATTTATTAGACAGAAAGAAATACAAAAGGAGTCAAAAAATAAAGCACCGGGGCTTCTGGACAGAAGAACTAAAATGGCCTAGAGTTTCTGGCAGAGGGAAAGACCCAAATGGGAAGTCTCCGTGTGGGTCCCTTGTCAATGGGTATAAAGTCTTGAGAATTATATTTGTCCAGGACTTGTTGTTGAGTGTTATTGACAAACGAATGAATGCAGTCCTCTGGCAAAAGGAGTTTGCAAACCCTTCATGAAATTGCCCTGGCCTAGGAAAACTGGGGTCCCTTGTGCAGCCTTGAATGTGGGAACCCTATATCAATTGTCCCTCTCTGAGTAGAAACTCTAACTGCTGTTAGGGAGAAAGGACAAAAACTTGATCTAACTGGTTCCTGCTGAATTGGGCAATGACGTAAGGGATTGGTTAGGGTTTCTTTGAAGGCAGGGTAATCCAGGCGTCTGCAATAGAATTGGGTTTTGGACTAGAATCATCTCTACTATTTGTGGCCTGATGATGTCATCTGTGTAAGATATAAATCTGATTAGCATATTAAAAGGCAAGCGTAGAACAGTGAAATGAGGGAGTTAATTACAGTGTCAGTTTGGAAATAACAAAGTCAGTGATGTCAAAAGAAAACTACACTAACACTTTCTTTGCAGGCTTCTAAATAATAACTCCAAATTTTCTTTAGGTTCACATGTGTAGGTGAACTGTGGTTGATTCTCTTCATGGTCCACTTCTATAGGAGGTGGTGAATTCTAGGATTTTACTCGTGAATGATGTATCCAGGAATTTATTCCCATAACTTTAGCAACTGTAAAAGAGACAAGATTATAGGAAAGGGACCTGCTCATCTTGGGGTTAAGGAAGGTGAATTGGACAGAGTTTTGATCATAACTAGATCTGCAGGAGAGAAAAACTCTTTTAGTGTTGAATGTGAAAATATAGTTGGGAAGTTTTTAAGGATTTGTTGAAATTTAGCTAAATATGGTTTAGCAACTTTGAAGGTCCTTGATCTAATAATAAATCATAAGTTAAAAAGAGCCTTCCATATAATAACTTAAATGGGCTGTAATCCAGTTTCTGAGGTAAACTTCTTATTCTAAGGAGAACAATGGAAAGTAATTTAGTCCAAAGGAGATAAGTCTCTTGACTTAGCTTCCATAAGAATCCTTTGATTTTATCATTCATTTTTTTTTTACCTTCCCAGAGGATTGGGGCCTCCAAGAACAGTGTAGATTATATTTTATGCCCAGGGCTTTAAATATTCCCCGTGTAACAGATGCTTTGAAGGCAGGCCCATTATTACTTTGCAAACTCTGAGAGATTCCAAACCTGGTGATAATTTCATGTACAAAATTTACAAATTCCTGGGCCTTTTCTGTCCTGCAAGGGAACTCTTTAACCCAATTAGTAAAAATATCCACAAATACCAACAAATATTGTATACCATGTACTTTAGGAAGATGATTAAAATCTATTTGTCTATCTTCACCTGGATATTTTCCTTGTTTTTGTATACCTGGGGAGGGATAGACCATGATTTGAAGGATTGTTTCTCTGACGTGCAAGTCCTTATCATCTGTTTTATGGTTTAAATAAGTTTCTTCCATTAAAGGGAGCTTTAGCCATTTGATAGGTACTTGCAGTGCCAAAATTAAAAGACTGATGTAGAGTTTTAAGTATTTTCCATTGACTTGCAGCAGGTAATAGCAAAAGTTCACTTCTATTTTGTAGGCAGTCTGAAAGAAGTAGTGAATAGTCTCTGGATAAAGCCTATTCCTTTTTTGTGGGGGGTGTGTTGATTTTCATGTGACCCCTCCCAAATGAGGAATGCCACAAGGGGAATTTTTCCTTTCTGTGCTACCATTTTAGCCTCTTTATCAGCAAATCAGTTATCTTCAGAAATATCTAAAGTTTTCTGGTGTCCCTTACAATGAATAACTGCTACTTCTTGTGGGGCATGAACAGCTTGTGATAACCTATTTCATGATGACATTTAATGGGGGAGCCATTTACATAGGGGAGCTAAAATGAGGAAAGCATATTTTTAGTCAGTGTATATATTGATTCATTTGTCTCTCCCAATTTCTAAAGTGCAGGTTAAAGCTATTAGGTAATTGTGTGCTGGTTCCTGAAGGGAAAGACCCACTCTCAATTACAGCATGCTGAGTAACTAGAGCATGAGTTTCTTGTTCTAGGAAAGAACTTCCATCTGTATACAAAACCATGTCAGGATTAGGTAGGGGAGTTTCTTTATTTTTATTTTTATTTTTTTGAGACAGAGCCTCAAGCTGTCACCCTGGGTAGAGTGCCATGGCATCACAGCTCACAGCAACCTCCAACTCCTGAGCTCAAGCAATTCTCCTGCCTCAGCCTCCCAAGTAGCTGGGACTACAGGTGCCCACCACAATGCACAGCTATTTTTTTGGTTGCAGCCATTAATGTTGTTTGGCGTGCCTGGGCTGGATTTGAACCCACCAGCTCAGGTGTACGTGGCAGGCACCCTAGCTGCTTGAGCCACAGGTGCCGAGCCGGTAGGGGAGTCTCTTGTAAGTCTTCCCTAGCTGCATAGGTCTGTGTTATAATTTGTTGGCAATCATGCCCTATTTTCTCATTGGATTCAGGGAGGAAAGTGGCAGTATTCAAAGTGGCACAGGTGCATAATTGTAGTACCAGCTCTTCTAGTAATAAGGCTGGATTTTTAAGAAGGCGGTTATCTGACAGCCAAAGATTGCCTTTTGAATTTAAAAGTGCAGTAAGGTCATGAGAAGTATAAATATTTAGGTCTCTTCCCAAAGTTAGCTTAGTTGCCTCTAACAGAGGGCTACAGCTGCTACAACTCTCAGACAGCGTGGCCATACCTTGGCCACAGTGTCAATTTCCCTACTAAGATAAGTTACAGGTTGTAAAACTGGACTCCTAGGGCAATGCCAGTCTGTTCTGTAACATTCAGGTTAAATGTTGTCCAACAGGAAGACTTAAAGCAAGGGCTTGTAAAAAATCATTTTTCAGCTGTTGGAATGCCTTGTCTGCCTCCAGTTCCCATTCTGAAGTGTCCAGGCACTCTTTTTGAGCATTTTTTTTTTTTT